GTCAAAACTAATCATGTATTCAATCCCGTTTTCTTTGTCTGAATTCAATTATGTGTGTTAGTCAAGAATATCGACAGACTGGTTCTTGGTATCTTGAGCATATTCAATAGCTTATTGATTATTGTTTTTACAGAACTATTGAATCATGAATGCTTTCAAAGAAAGCAGCCATTTGTTGGAACAAAATCTATGCTTGATTGCTTTCTATAAAAGAATAACGCTCGAAACTAAATGATGCAAACAAACATTTTCAGCATTGTTGAATCATAGGGATAGTATTTCGTCAGTGAAGTTTTCAATGATTCAATGGCAATACGTAATAGCAAAAGAAAACAGTGACAAACACTAAGGACATACCAAAAGTAGTGCTTCCATAATTATATAACACTGCAGAAGGAGTGTGATAGTGGAATGGTCACTTAATACATAGCCACATTCCCTATCTCTTAACTTTGACTATGCTATGTAGCTTCTGTCGTACTTTGATTCTTTTCTAACTTGTAAATTCAGAAGCTGAGTCTGTTAAGATATAGTTGACGGAGGCTTTCCAACTTATCATCACTTTTATTGATATCAAATCATTTGCCTTTACCGAAAATCTTGCGGATGACCGAATGAGCTTAAAAGCTTTGTTATTTGCTTAAAGTACATAATGTTACATATCTTGTAACTTATGACGAGTACTCTATAATATCAGCATAGGCATGTGATCTCTTAGATATTTGTATGGGAATGGTCCCAGTGAGGGTGTGAGTGTGGGTGTGACAGTTCAATTCATTCCATTCCACACCCACACCCACACCACTCACCCACATCCTTGTTTGGCTGGTATCCCCCTCAAACATCATGATTTCGGACTGAAAATTTTACCATAGCTTTTTCACAATACCCCAACATATTCTGAAGATTTGATGTCATCTGAACGATCCTGGACTGAGATCGATTTTTGAGGGGATCTAAGAACAACGTTTTGAGAAGTGAAATGAGCTCCATTAGTTGCTGCATAGTCTGTTCTCCAAAGGAATAAAATACCTAACAAAAAATTGAAGTACAATGATGACCCAATTTCGTCCCTTTCAAACATCAAATGTGGTGCCGTCAGTGAATAATTTCTGCACTATCAACAACATGTTTTTCAGACCCTACTATTTTGAGCTTTCGAGTATGGCATGAGGTAGAGATGTAGTACCCAGGCGCAAGATGTGTGAGGTTTGTTACAGTCGACCCAGCTGGCTTTTGAATTCTCAAGAACGTATATGTCCTTGTTACAAAGTAGGAAATATACCGTGTTCTTGCATTCTTCGATTCTTTTGTAGAAACTCTCTAACATAAGTGACGCCATTCAAATAGGATCTCAACTTAAATCACGTACGATCTCGTATATTATTGTTTGCTTTCATAACAAGTACCTTTTGTTAGAAGCAATTGCACTAAGTTCCGAATGAACTATCGATGACAAGTGATTGTCCAATGCAAATTCACTCAATAGACGATGATAGCAATTTTCAGCTCGGTCGAAGCGACCCAAATGACATAAAATTTTGCCGAATATGACGATGTTCAGTTTCCCATCGTCGTTTTCAAGTTTCTTCATATGTTCTAAGAACATTTTCCAATTGTGCTCATTGGCAGCCGCTAATGTCATGCGAATTATCCATAGTCCATTATCAGCACAATAAATATCGCCAATATGAAATATGGAACCGATCATGAATAGGACTTCTCTTTCAGATGGATAGAACGAGTGTGGGCTGATGTCAGCAAACGGTTTACTTTGTTTTTTTTTGCGGATGAACTGTGATTTCAAATAGAATTTTTTTCGAATGTTCGGGTGAATGCTTCAAAACTGATAAAGTAACATCACGACTTGCACTTGTAGACAGAAATGTATTGATAGAAATCAATTTACCGACTGATGTTTGAAGAAGATCAAAGTCATCGTTTGACTTCCATTCGCCCCAAAATACACACATGGGAACATGACATCGACTTTGTTTCAATTGACGATCGATGTGACGAATCCAAAAACGAAGAAGAAACAGTAAATGAATACTTTGCTGACGTAAAGCTGTCATCAACATTCTATAGATGAATGATTGTCGTGTATACCACCAAAGAGCTCGTTTCCATGAGTAAGTTTTCTGAAAATCATCAATCTTGACTAGTTGAGCCGAATTATTTTTGTACTCAGCTTTTCCAAATGCAATATATTCGTCAATTTCGGTTGGACTAGATTCCATTCGAATGAAACATTCGATGAAAGCAATTGGACTATCGAACGGATCATCATTGACAATCGAAATCGATGGAAACGATAAGTTACTTTTGATAAGTTTCCGTTCCACTATCAATACTTGACTCTTTATAGCAGATTCAATATGATTAATAAGCTCATCAAAACAAGTGACAAACAGGCTGAATCTACAAACATATTACCGAAAAATTTTTTCCAAAAATGAAAACAACAACAAGTAAACAAAGCAAAAAAACATTGCTTCACCTTACTAGGTAGCTTTTCCCATTGCTCATTTTGATTCTTATCAACAGAATAGATATAGATTGATGTTACTTGTGGCAGTTGATATATATGAAGCAGTAATTCTTGTCCCAAGTTGTCACTAACAATAAGCATGAGTCGTTCATCGGACGACACTGATCGAATATAATTCTTACACTGTTCCCGATCTTCAAATGTCATTACATGATTGGTGACAGTACGAAGCTGTTGTTGAGCACGGCGATAATTCTCGCTCGTGTTCACTAGAGCATCGAGCCAAATAGCTGAGCATGTTGCCATGCAACAAATGCAATACAAAACAACACCTTCCAAGTGTTTTTTATAGTTAAACGTGGTGCTCAATCAATGCAATAACAATCGTTGTCTACAGCATGACTTCTTTCTGTTTGTTGACGTTGTTGTTTCTCGTTTCTTCGACAAATAATTCTAGTCACAGAAAGAACAGGCCTAACGCTGCCTATTGAGAGTGCGAGTATGCAGATGTCATTTTTTCGTATCTGAGGTAAAGAAGATGTATATGATGTTCTATCGATAGGTTTTACTAATATCTATTTTTTTAAAGCCTGTAATAAAATAAAACTTTTACCATGATAGAATGAAAGTAACTACATAGAAAAATCATTTAATTAAAATCATCACACACTAATATGGCTTGTTCTCAAACTCGAATTATGAGACTTTAATTAAAAATAAAACGTAGTGGCAACATTACTTTTTAGAATTCTCATAGAAGTTAAAAGTATACCAAGAACTCGATAGATGATTTTTTTTCTAATTTTTATAACTTTCCGTATGGTGGATAATTTTCACTTACATAAATACCAATTAATAGTTTCCAGCAAGTATCTAAAGTATAGAATTTATTTGTTTTGTCACATGATATAATCATTTGAATAAGAAATAACCTATACAGATCAGAACCATCATCATACAACAGATGATTATTATGCACAAAAAGGAAGGAAACAGGGATAACAGGAAGAGAAACTATGAGAGAAGAGTAACCAAAGGAGATACTGTCACACTGCCATCAATTCAAACCATATCAAATAGTTTTATTCTCCATGAAAAATAGAAGCATTCATAAATATTCTACAATCAATATTTCCAATGAAATGTTTTAACGCACATATTGTTTTGTACAGTTAATACATATTTTGGAAGAAAAGAAAATACATTAAACACAATTTTCAATCAGATTCTAGAGATTATAGTTTAGCATTGCAAAAACTAGCGTGTGTTTTAAAGTTTTTAGACAAGCTTTTTAATTATTTCTAGCCCTCAACAGAGCATTTCCGACTAATTGAATGTAATGTTTTCCCAAGGCTCCGTACTCTTTTTTGAATATGACCTTAGGAATGCTCTGCGTATTTCTGTTCCAGCGTAGCGAAGGAATTTGTGTAAAGCATCAAAGATTATTTTCAATCGTGAACCAATAGATTTTTGCTTACACTATAAGTTGAATCCAAGATTTTCGGGCTCGGTCTCTGTACAAAGAAAATTTTTAGATCTAAAGTCGGACTCACTTGGTTCTGAGTCCAGGTTCTACCCGACGGGATCTAATGTTTGAAGTCTGTCGTTTTGTAGAGCAGATACTTTCCGACAAAATCTGGTATTGAACTAAGCTGCAGCTCTATTCAAATGTGACTATACACATTTCTTAAGAGCTCCCTTCGAAGTATAATGGTTTTTAGGGGAAAGTCGATTTTAAAAAATGAGTATTTAACAAGAAAGAAAATTGAGCTGTGTAATGGAAAGACAGAAAGAACTTTAATAGAAGAAAATAAATATATAATATATTTTATAGATTCTGAAAGTAGACATTCAACATCAAATTAATCTTCTTTTGATGAACCAAATTCGTACTTTAGTAGACTTTCAGGTCAAAAACTGGTTTCTAAGATTTTCACAGAGTGCTTCCGAGATTTCTTATTATTCAATTACTTTTGAACAAAAATTGATTATTCAGATATTTTGAAACCCTAGATCAATAATTTAATACAACGCCTCTATGAAAAAAGAAACTTGATTTTATTTAAATAATGATTATTTAGAATACAACAACGATAACCTATTTATCAAGATACATTTAAGAACAGCAACTGAAAGAAACATTTGAAGATTTACATAAAACAACTGTTCAACACTTTCTGGCACTATTAGATATGGAAGGTCATTCTTTTAGATGTTACTTTTATCGTACTTGAAGATTCACAAGTACAACAAAAGTTGCTTAATTTACAAGAACAACATAAATAAATTTTTCTGCGGTATATAAACTTTAATCTTCTCGTAATTCGCAAAAGAACACTATCTTGGCTTTTTTTTCATAAAACTCAATTGTACAAAACGGTCCACTAATCATCAAGCCTTATCCTTTTTCCAACAGCTATGCAGAAGAAGAACAAAACATTGAGTAAGTCAATACGATTTTTTTTTATCAAGAATATAAACAAAAAGTTTTTTTTCAAAGATCCTACTGATGACAAACGATTCAGTTCATCAATTGGCACGCCCAATTGGATATATATATATTATGAATGAAGAATTTAATGAACAACTTAAACAAAAACTCGACAATTTGAAAGAACAAAATATACAAGAAAGTAAAATTACAGATTTTAAGTATATCAGATGTCGATGTTGATTCTTTTAGAAATTCAACTTCTTTCTAACGAAGCTATACAAAAAGAACCTGAAGCACGTGTAGCTCGAGAAAACATTGAAGTTCTTCCTCAATCATTAAAACGAACACGTTCAAAAGCTGTACGTATTAACGATAGAATCTTTTAAAAGTATGTCGTCCATTGTTTCTTTGTTTAGGAAAAAACTCGAAATATTTATTATTATAATTAGTCTTCAACTTGTTTCGTCTTTTTTTTGGTTATTATTCAACTTTTACTTTCTTATTTTTTTTTCTATCTTACTTTTAGCTATAGCCATTGAATGAATTTTAGAGCCATAAAGTTGAGCAACAAAGTTATTTGTTGATCGTTTTAGCCGATACTTTTGATGAATATCATAAATAACATATGAGAAAAATCTGTACTACAATATGCACCATCTGTATGATGCTGTCGAAAACTTTTGGTAGTAAAACATCCATGCATTTTGAACAGTAAACTTTAACCAAGGCTTCACCAGAAACTTTGTATAAACCAATCTATTATCAAAATATGCATGAAAAAAAAGAAAAAAAAGTTTTTGTTTTGTTTCCTACGGGTAATATTTGTTAGTTGTCACAATAAATATGAGAACAATGTCAAAATAACCATTTTGAAATTTTTCGAGCATTTGTCCTATCCCATTATTAGTCAATATGTAACGAGCATGGATAAGGCCTATTTAATTATAATTAAGTTCTATTTTAACTCTTTGGTTACGGGTTTTTTTCTACCAACAAAAAAATTTTGGTTTTTGTCACAAAGCTTGGAACAAAGGATGTGTACGTGCACGGCAGTACTATGCAATGATGCGCTGATTCTAGTAATAAGAGATCACTATTATAACCTGAGTAAATGCTAGAGTCTTGCAGGATAATCCTACTCTATCCTAGCCTGTGGTTGCTTAGAGTACAACCAGAAATCGTGTAGAATAGTATTAGTGTACGAATATGGGCGTAACTACCGCGATAGCATTTGAGACGACATCTCAGAAGTAACGCGCTTTATCTCCGGAGTAAATCCCTGGTTCTTTATGTATGAAGATATTTTTCCTCAGTAGCGCAACGTAGGATGCCTTAGTTTGACAAATTTTGGTTACGCCGCTAAGTACGATTCCTGTAAGGTTGGCTAGGACAAGTATACAAAAAAAAACATCGAATAAGACAGAGAATGAATAATCATGCTCCCGCAGAACTGTAGTAAAGCAAGAAAATCATAAATGTCACAGAAAGTAATTCAAGGAAAAGCTCAGCCCGTATATATACGAGCCCCGTAACGAAAGGGTTAACAATATTCTATTTAACATAGAAAAAAAAAGAGGAATTGGATAAAAAAATTTATTAAAACTTATTGCAACGCCTGGTCAAGACATTCTAATCAAAATTTCTTCAAAACTGCACATCATAACCTGCATGTAAAACGTCTTGGCACAACATCTCTGCTCGATTTTCGTCTACTTATAGGTTATAGAAGACAATGAAAAGTAGCTAACTAGAATGAGAATTATGCTCTTTCTAAATATATGTTAAACATTTTGAACTGATTTATGACTGATGAACTGTAAGCAAATATTGGAATAAGTCAAAAATGTCATTTTCACTACACAAAATATGCCTTTTTCTGTCATTCGTAACTTCTCTGAGGATTATTTCTGGATAACTTTCACTTCTTACTGCTGTAGAGAATTTTATGTCCTACAGAAACATGAGTTCCCATAAACTATAACTTACACGATTCAAAAGCTACAAATAATTTTGGGAATGCTACACTTTGCATAAGATGACATTTTTCAGAATAATCGTTTCTGCAAATTAAGATATTTAAAATGCAGTAGATTCTGATGGTTTTCAACGATAATTTGAAAACGAAATAAATTAGACATTTTGTAGAGCAAGCTTCGTTCTAAAAACTAGTATATAATAAGAGTTTCTTGTAATTTGTACTGATTCAGTTTTATTCAAAATACAAAAATGGACTACATTCAGCATTCTGTACAGACGTTGTTATTGGTTCCCATGAAAGATTTACTCTCAATAGATTGACTTCGAGTCTCAAAACAATTCTAAATATATGTTTAGAAAAAGCATGAAATACTTATCCTACCTAGCTACTTTTGCTTCTCTTCGGCAACCTATAAGTGGACGAAAATCAAGCAGCAATATTGTGCCAAGACCTCTTACACTCAGGTTATTATGTGCAATTTCATTTTTATTTGGTACAAATGTCTCATTAGATGAAAATAAACGTTTAGTCTTCATGCAAAAAATGCCGTGTATATGTTGAGTTTATTTTTTCATACTTATTTTTCCACTTGCTCATATTTTTCTGTTCCCATTTTTTCTTTTACTTTGCTTATAAATTTAAACTTATTTATGAAAAATTTGTGTATATACGAAAGTTGCCGTTATATAGTTTAATCATATCCGTGAAATTCGATTCATACATTCGTACTAGAGCCGTAATATATCAAAAACACTGGTCTCTGTTGTGATTGCTCAAATATTACTATAAATACTCATTTACCTTCGATAATTGATACAAATAAAAGAGATCATCTTTTAAAGAAATGCATTCCCGAAATCTAAAGTTTCTGACAAGAAACGAATACCGAATTTGTTCAAAAATATGCATAAATCAAGAAAAAGTGAAAGACAACAAATTTTCCTATAAATTATTTATGCTGTTCGATTATTCTCACTGATATTGGTATACTACTGTACCCATAAGTACCGACAGTAATATCGGCAGAAGATAATCGATCGAGCAATAGCTATGGGTATAACGTGGTACAATAACAGCGATGAGATAACTGAGCATTTAAGTATCTAACTATCGTCAGTTGATTGCTGATATATTGGCGGTTTTTCTTCGGTTTTGAATTATGTGGAAAGACGAAGAGTTGTCCCTAAAGCAAGTTCAATTTCAATTTACAACTTTTAAAACAGATGAAGATTCGATAGATTCTTTATCATGATATAGTTTTTTTTTCTCAATTCATCTTATTTTTATGATTGCATCAATGTATCAAAATACTTCTTGTAAAATTTATGCTAGTTCACATCTTTTCTTTCATATAGGAGCAAAATAATAGAAACCACTAAAAGCATTATCTATCTCTCTCTCTGATATTGATTACTATAGGTTAACTTTTGACCAATGAAAAGTTGTTTTAATAAAGTAAAATATAATTAATTTATTGAAATAAAAAATTTGCATTAAATTTAAATAAATATCAATAAAATAATCTAAAAATATTAAAATATTTTAAAATAGTATCATTTATTCTAATCCTCCTCGATTTCAGCAATCCGTAACATAAGATAATGTCGGACCAATGAAATTTTTGGAAAAATTTTGTGTCACGACCCTGTTCAAACTTACGAAATTGGTGCTTTTCGAGAAAAAACATATAACAGATTCATCATATTGAAAAAAAATGAGGTAGAAAATTAAGATAAATTCATTCCATAGACTTGATTGATTTTTTTTCTGATATTAGTTCGCTCCGAGTACAAAAGCGGCTCGCTTCATCAATCTTACGATGTGGTAATAAGAAAATCTGGCTTGATCCAAATGAAGCCAATGAAATTGCAAATGCCAACACTCGTAAGTTATTTTTTCATAAAACTTTTTCTTCAAAGCCCTTCAACAATCATCGATCTTTGATGTAAAAAAAAAATTTTTTTATTACGCATGTAACATTGATCGATACACAAGAAGGGGAAATTATAAATTTTCAGTTTTATTTGTTTTTATTCTTTTGTTGATTTTCATACATCTAATATCAACAATAAACAAATAAATTGAACAAGAATTTTTATTAATGAATGCTAATAATTTTATTTTTTCTTACTGTTTAGGCCAAAGTGTACGTAAATTAATTAAAGATGGTTTAATTATTAAAAAACCAGTGGCAGTACATTCACGTTTTCGTACACGTAAAAATAATGAAGCTCGTCGTAAAGGTCGACATATGGGTCATGGTAAACGAAAAGGTACTGCCAATGCACGTATGCCAACTAAGGTTAGTTAAAACGTTAATATTTTTTTTTCATTTCGATCTATTATTTAATTTAAATATAGATCCTTTGGATCCGTCGTATGCGTGTTTTACGTCGTTTGTTGAAAAAATATCGTGCAGCTAAAAAAATTGATCGTCATTTGTAAGTTATTTCTTGCTTAGGAACAACAAATCAATGATATTATTTTGTTTGTTTTTATATTAGATATCATGAACTCTACTTAAAATGCAAGGGTAATGTCTTTAAAAACAAACGTGTATTAATGGAATTTATTCATAAGAAGAAAGCTGAAGTACAACGTACTAAGATGCTTTCTGATCAAGCTGTTGCTCGTCGTGAACGTACAAAAGAAAAACGTACTCGACGTGAACAACGTATTCTTCAAAAACGTACTGAACTTTTGGGTAAACAAGAAGATGACGATACAAATGTAGCTGTTCAACAAGCTATTCAACAACAAGCTCAAGCAGCTGTTGTAGCACCACCATCACAACCACAACCACAACAACAACAACAACAACAACAAAAAGCATCAACAAAAACAAGTGCTAAACAAGAAAAGAAACAACAACAGCAACAAACTCAAGCACAACCTAAACAAACACAACAAAAAAAGAAATAAAATATTTTATTTAAAAAAGACGAGTATTGGACATAAATAACATTCACTGTGTCTTTTATTTCGTTTTTTTTTTCATCTTCAATGATGATTTTTTTCTTTGCCGTTTTTTCTATGTCATCAATAAATAAAAACAAGCAGCCGCATATATAAAATAAGAAATTGAAATATAAAATTTTATCTTTATAAACCATTGATGAACTTCCAATTCTTATTTTACAAATAGTGATCAATATAATATGACAAAGTGATGCAAGTTAAGCAAATGAATAGTTCTAAATATTTTTCAGTTATAATTTATTTTTGAGTATGATCTATTTATTGTAATGTAATATAATCAAAATAGTCTCATCAAATTACATAAAAAAATAGAATATGCATTGTTCAAAGTTTCATGAATTTGAAGATCGACAGAATTGAATCGTAATTTTGTCCTTATTATTAACAGTCATCACAGAGAAACTCATAATGAAAAGTGGTCATAAATTG